GGAATCACCCGAACGTACTGTTCATAGCGTACGAGGAGTTGATCGCAGACTCGGCGGCAATGATCGCCACAATCGCCCGCTTTCTCGGCAAACAGTTTACGGCCGAAACGGTGGCCAACATTACGACCCACTGTTCGCTGCAGACTATGCGCGACAATCCGATGGCCAATCAGTCCGATCTGATCACTCGTTTGGGCACAACCGGCGCACAGTTTGTAAGGAAGGGTACAATTGGCGACTGGAGGGCACACATGACTGACACACAGTCGGCACTGTTTGACGAGCGCTTTGGGCAACAGTTGCGGGCGATTGGGCTCCGGGTGTGCGACGACTTGTCCACAGCGGAGCGCTATATGCAAGACACCGGACGTGTCATTAATAATGTTTAGCATATTATTATTAAATGCAAAACAACATTTCACCAATATACTGTATTTGTTCCAATTACCAATAGTAATTTTGCTTATTATTTTTCAAATAATATCCATATCTTAAATAATATATATTACATTTTTAATAATAATTAATTTTATTTCATTTATAATAATTAATTATTATTAATAAAATGGAAATTTTCAATTTTGTCCAAACTATTAAAATTGAATAATTAAAATGATAAATGAATTTAATGGCAATAAAACTTTAGGTTTATAATATTTATTATGGATAATTAAATTAATTGCATGTATGATTGAAGGTAATACAAATGCTGGTAAATAGTATAAAATAAAAAACAACCATGATTGATTAAGCATTTAAATTAAATAATTTTTTAAAAAAGCAAAAAAATTCGTAATAAAAAATAGTTTGGTTTAAAGTTTAGCCTTAAATTGAATGACAATTACTTTTAACGCATTCACACGTAATTCAATGTAATTGTAGTTTTTGTGTCGAAACAGGAGATGAGTGTCAAACGCCTGATCCCTGGCCTCCAGACCGGGGCCGCCATCACTACCGACGACGACCAGCCAATTCTGGCCACACGTTTGGCCGCACTTTTGCGACAGTAATTGTGTCATACGAGCGGTCAGTTCACGATAGGAGCCGTAGTGTTGGCCGACGGCTTCGGCCGCCGCGTCGGCCACCACTTCCTCAAAGTCCGTATCGCATGTGAAGTGGTTTTTGTAAATAATGTCCACTTTTCCCGACTCTGGCGATGATATTGGCGTTGAAAATGTGTCCACCTTTTGATAGGAAACAAACAATTATTATCTTATAGTCTCTCTCTCTCTCTCTCTCTCTCTCTCTCTGATAAATAAAAGTAAATATCATTTGAAATACCATATCATTAGTCTTGAAGACAACAAACTTCACGTCGTTTACAGCGAACGATATATAAGTGCCGAAGACATGGATCAGTGAGTTGTGATCGAAGGCATGGGCGGCGCCGGCGAAACAGTACCAACTCGTGCCCAACCGGTGCTCCAGAGCCGCCACCACAGCGTCCGCCACCGACTTGTGATCGCCGTATTTGGTCAGCGCTTCCGTCGCCTGACTAACGGCAAAGTCCTTCAGCTTTTCGGTCATTTCGTTGACCAAAACGGTCACCGAATCTCCGGTAACCACAGCTCTCGCGGTATGTGTCGGTATGTTTGGGGCCGACTGTTGGCGACCAATTGTGGCGCCACCTGTGCTGCCGCTGCCACAGCCGCTGTCGCACAGACTGTGCTCGTAGTCTCGGGCCAAGTAGTGTCGCACCATCTCTGCCAACGACTTGTCCGCTGTCATCGCCGGCAGGTCTGTGTCCGAAGTGGCGGTCCGTTGTTTCATGACTTCCAACTCCAGTTCCGATCGCCGGCGACGGCTGTCCAGCGCCTGTAGTTTTCGCCGCAAACTCTCGTTAACCGATTTGGCGATCGTATAGTTCTGATGCATGTCTTGCAGTTTGTCTCTCAATAGAGACAACTCGTGGCCATCCGTGCCGTACGGTTCCCGAAGAATAGTGGCGTTGCCAATGGTATAGCTATTGTTGTGGTGCTGATAGTTGTCGTAGTGCTGGACATCGATTAGCTCTTGGATTGTCTCCTGTCGCTCATAAACGGCCAACTTTTGTCTCAGTTCGCGGATCAGCTCTTCATGTGATGAACACTTGTTTCAACCAAAAAAACAATGAAAAAATAGATAAAAATTCGCACACAATATGATATCTAAACACTACCTTTTGGGACAGTTGTCTAACCATCGCATCCCTGGCCAACAGCTCCTCCTCGGCGTCCGATTTCTGGTCGTTGAGCTCTTGTATGGTTTGCAACAAATTGTGTTGCATTTCCTCGACATTGCCGTCGCTTTTGTATCGCAACTGAAGCTCGCATTCAAGCGATTGGATCCGCTGTTCGGCGGCCACCGACCGATGGGTCAACCGCTGGATCTCCAGCCGCGCCGCAGCCGCCTGTTGTTCGTACCGCTGGTCCCGTTCCCGGAGCTGCCGATCCCTGGCCTCCAGCGTATACTCCAGTAGTTTAGCGCCTGTAGTGTCGGCGATGTCGTCGACCACGAGATGCCTGTTTTCCTTGTCATCCCTGCCATCGATGGTCGGCGCCAATTGTCCCAAACCTCCAGCCGAGACAACTCGCTTGGGTATAGTCTGGCGATGGGCTGCGGCGGGGCTGACAAGTGGTGACAGTTGGGGGTATAGCCGGCGTAAGGCAGTGGTCGGCGCTCGTGGTGTTGAGGTTAGCTGTGGCCGATCGCCAGTATTTGTCGGCGACCAATCGATACGATTTTGTGGCCAATCGCCAGCACTGATGGTCGACGACAGACCGACGATACGGAAGGGCTGCGAACGGCCGCACAGTTGATACCGAGTATAGGCGCCGAACGGATGAAAGTAACAGAACTGATAGTATTGGTCGACAACAGCGCCCGCCGTCTGTAGCGACGACGAGGACAGTGTCGGGACAGTCGGTGGCGGCGATTGTGTGGCCACCGATAATGGGATCAACAGCTCAGACATCGGGAACAGTACTGACCGTTCGTCAAACGAGTCCACAGTCGACGACAGGTCGGCCACGTCTTTGACGGCCAGATAGTGCTCGCGATCGGTCCAACCCATGCGATAGAGACCCACTTTGTCGGCGCTGGTGTCCAGCGATGGGTCGACGTAAAAGCGACAGTCGATTACCGTCGCTGACGACCCGTCGGGTGTGAACTCGTATTGGCCCTCAATCTCGGCGAAGATCACCAGCGGATGTGTTCGGGTCTTGTCGAAGGTGTCGCCCATTTTTGCCTGTAATGGACACAAATACAGACACAATTAGTGATACACTAAAGACTTGTTATAATGAAGTAATTGATTAGTTATAGTGTACTTTAGATGAAAGTTTGTGGCATTTCCTGTAGTTTGTAATAGTTATGTAACTTTTAATACAGTTTTGAATGTAGTTTTAATGCCACGCCTTTGTATGTGGTGTACTCTCTCTTGAGTTGGTTCACTATAACGAGGGTTCACTGGTTATAAATGATCATGTATAAACTTTGATTTAATTATTAAAACACTGATTGAGTTAGGTTTGTGTGTGGAGTTGTTTTTTTATGGTAACTTTTTTTTATGCATAGAGTTTTTTGGGTAATGTTTTTGCAAACAGTTTCTAACAATTCATTAAATTATTATTTTATGATATGAAAGAATATACACTTATTTTGTACACTAAATAAACAAAACTTTTTTGCATTTAAATACACATTTCTACGACAATAATCTCGGTATTAATGAAAACGCGATAAAACACTAAACAAATAATAAAACAGCAAAAAAAGTTGTATTGATTACAAAACACTACAAATTAAATAACAATACAGAAAATATCCGTTGAATTTTGTCAAGTATTGCATTAGATATGCAACTGATTGTACATTATATACGATATATACTTTATATTCAAACAAAAGTTGTACACTATATGAATGTCCGAAAGATAATGAATTTTCTATTCGTATATAAAGTGGTATTTTTATGACTGAAACGATTTATTGTGTTTATTTTGGGCACAAGTTTTATACAAAACAAGTCTTATATCTGATCACAAGATCTTTGATTATCAATCACACGACCACTACTACTATAACAACACATATGTGTAGATACAGTGTATTTAATCAGTAATACAAATAAAAATGACCAATGCACTTTTGGTAGTGAAATATTGTGGCTTAAATGTGGGTTAAAATCATAAATGTAAACCTGTTTCCCACACCATATCCATTGCATTCAATGAAATTGTTTGCAAAACTTGGTGGCAATACCTTTATTATTAACTTTTTGTTTTATACCGTAAAGTGTTTTATCGCGTTTTCATTAATACCGAGATTATTGTCGTAGAAATGTGTATTTAAATGCAAAAAAGTTTTGTTTATTTAGTGTACAAAATAAGTGTATATTC